CAAAAGAGCATTGCTCCTGCTACAGTCTGGTCTGGTTACATGGTTTCAATATTTATTGGAACACGGAATATCAAGGAGGTTTGTTATATTTTAAATGGATCATGAAAAACAATTTTGAAAGACATGGTTCTTCTCTTGAACCGTATCTATTGGTCCAGTTTATTAGCACTTTGTTCCAACATACAGATAATGTTACATTCAGAACTGTGGACTTTCATCATTTCACCATTGGTAAATATGAGGCCACAGAAGCTGAACAGGAAAGTTTACAGCAGATCACAATCAGGGTTACAGTAAAAAAAAGTGTATGGAATGATTACCTAGACATAAACTAATACACTTTTCATCTAAGGCATAAGGTGCACATACCGAAAATAAAGGAGATACATGACAGAAAAGAGAGACGATCGACTCATCTTTTTCTAAGTTCTTCGCCTTGTTTACATTACAAATGTTTACAATACTATGATTGCTTAACCTGCAATCTTTCAACTAGTTCATGTATTACTACGCACTTGTAAGGGCAATATTTTATAGATTTCAAAGTCTGATTTTCCAAATCGATGTATTTTATACATTACTGTATACTAAATAAACTTTTTTTCTTTAATATTTTCATAGTTTTACTCTATTCTTTACAAAAACCTAATGTGAATTTACACTTTCCACCAGGATTTTCAAGACCTTGTGATCGCCATTCCTTGACAAAACACTGGTAAGGAATGTTTCATTTTCAGTATTGCGTCGATTCTGGGTCCTATGTAAAACAATAAGGTGGCTATGCAGAAGAAATAGACCTTTGTAACTATCAAAGCTTGATATGTGAGCCCGTAAAGTGACACAAATTCCCAGGAAAAGTGATTAGAAACCAAGTTATCCAGAAAATTGATAGAAGCAAAGGAAAGTTTGGTGTCCCGAGATATAAAGGTGTTTGGTTTATTCTTTAAGGTATGTATGCAGCCCTATCTTGCCATGTATACTGAGGTGAAGAGAATGTTTCCCAGGGGGGTGTTGGCGGCAACCTTCCCCTCAGGCAGTGTCCGAAGGGCATGCCTAGTCACAGCAACTTAGATTGTTGAATAAAGTTTATGACTTGGAATTAGGTTGCTTTATTGGTCAGGATATATTGGGTGGTGTGTAGATTTCTATTCCTATTGATTTTACCGAAAGATGGGTTGGGTTCCTTAGAGTTGTCATTTTTAAGTTAGTGCAATGATCTGCAGACTTTCGAAAATGGCATTCATGTCCGTAGAGTTTCACTGGCTGATTTTAAGCGTTTTTTTTTTGTGATGGTTTTACACATTTTGTTCTTTACTCTTCTTACTTCAGTTTATGCTCTATAATTTCCTTGATATACATCATGCCCTCCCCTGCTATCAGGACTTACCACATCGAGGTTGTCTGCTGTGATTGCTACGGAAATAATCTGATTCGTTCTCGTCACACAAGATTAAATATGTTGATATAAATATTGTCTGGGAAGTCCCGATTGTCATAAAAGGTACAATAACCTCTGTACCCGTGTTGTTTATAACTATTTCTTATGCTCTATAAGATGTGTGTCACTCTTGGTAACATTAGCCACTAACCGCCGCATTGCATATACATACATGCCATGGTTGTTGTGGACTGAAAAACAGATGGCATGATATCATGACTATTCCCGCGCCATTGGCTCATCAGACAGAGTTTTTTTTTTATCTCTGATAATAGCGGTTTCATTAATATGGTATAGATTTTAGGCAATGGCACCTATAATGAAGATAAACCTTCAAAATTATATATACTTATAAATTATAACAAAATAAAAACTTTTAGGTGACAAATGTTGCTCGCAAACTACTGAACGAGCCGGATGCAAACAGGGGAAACTGCAGATGCGCACGAACAATCACGTTATTATGTCTACTTGCCAAACTTTTTCAACCGGAGGCATCGGGTTAACCGAACAATATACTTATTTTCCTCTATCTCTCCAAGGTCCTATTCTAGAAAAGTTGCAATAAGAAAAGAAAGAAAATCTTCCTTTTTCAATTGTGCAACTACCATTGGCTTCTGGATGACATCCACACCTACTGATTCAAGCCAACAGACATCTATAATTCCTATTCAGCGTTTCATCATCAACTAAAGAACCTGTTAAAGCTCTATCACGCAAGAATGTAGCTGCCAAAAGTGTGCTGGTCTTTGCCATACTGCCAAAGGCGTGATAGCAGCACTGATTACTTGACAAAACCAGACCAGACTTCCGCTACAGATCTCCAATTTCAAGTAGATTTTGAAATACCAAAGACAATGCAGTTACGAGACATATCTTGTTTTCTTAGCCGCTGCTGGTGTCTTCTAAATATTTACCATAACAATTATCTATTATAAATTGAAAAAAAAATTCCATCAATTGATATCTTATCCACAGATCTATAGATAAGCCTACATTTCCTGAACGTTGACATATTCCTTATTCAAACTGGTAAATACTGAGCCCGGAGACACACGAAGGCAAAAAAGACAAACAAACAAACCACATGATCCTAATCTCTGTCTTCTAAGTCACGATCACAATAAGTCAATGACTCACAGTCCTAAGAATTATTAAATTGTCTTATTTAGTGTCTTTGGCGTCATAATTCTTATTTCAGTGAATGGATAATGGGAATTGTTTATAATTGTGTGCACATTAATCATTTCTCGTGTAAATAGAGCAAAATAATTACGAAAGAGAGAGAAAGAAAAAAAAACATAATGATGGCGAACACAATAACATTCGGTGCCTCGCAATCTGGCCAACTTTCTCCCTTATTTAAGGATATTAATGGAATCATCCTCACCTTCAGATCGAGCTTGTGTTTCCGGGCGTCGATAACACGGCCGGATATCAGGATCAAAGCGAAAGCGAGCTGGAATAACTTGATTTTACAACGGACCATCTTGCCCAGATATCAAAACTTTTCAGCCATGACAGTCCTACCGAGTGCGTTCGGATATCCCGGAATTTTATTTGTCAATCTCTATCTCTATTATTATTTTTCAGTATTTTTGTATTTATTTCGATATAAAAAGGTAATTTTGATTTTGAATTTGATATCTATTTTATCAAAAGATTACATGAGGTTAATTTTATTCCATCATGAATGCAGTGAAAACGTAAACAAGGGAGTGGGAAGAGAGGAAGAAGGTGATTGGTCCATAGCTTTGCCGATAACTCTCCCAGGCAACCAATCAGCGACGCCGTGCGAGCTGACGTCACGAGTTTTCCATCCGTGCTTTCCCGAGCTCGGTTTCCCTTTCACTCCATTCAACAGTTTCCAAAGTCTCGCTCATCGAAGACGTTGTCGTTCTTGTCCTCCTCCTCCCAAGGCCACAATGGAAGCGATTTTGACCTCCGACGTCAAGAAAGACGAGAACTACTACACCATCTTGGGCTGTGACCCCAGCTCGTCAGTAAGTCGGCAACCCTTTTATTATTTTTTCCTCGTTTTCCCCCCACCCTTCTCTTTTGTCTCTTTTATTTCCCTTTTTTTCTTATTTTTTTGTTTCAGGGAGCAGCGTGGACCGAGAGGTGACCTGTTGCGCGCTGTTGTTCATTGATTTTCCTCGCTCGAGCAATCTCACTTGGTACAAAAGTCAAGCCTTTTGCTGAGGGCTTTTGATGCGCTGCTGGACAGGAGGAGGATAGAGCGATAGATAGAGACTAGTAGACAGCAGAGGTTAGACAGACAGACAGGTTAACAGGGAAATAGGTAGATGTATAGACAGACAGACAGGTTAACAGGGAAATAGGTAGATGTATAGACAGAAAGGTAGACAGACAGTATGAGACACAGACAGGTCAGGTTTATAGATCAAAAAATAGATAGATTATAGATCAAAACGTAACTAGGGACTGATAGATAGACAGACATGAGGAGCTTAATAGCCTCAAAATAGGTAGATGTATAGACAGAAAGGTTAGTACTGACTGACAGATAGACAGACTGTCAGGTGAATAGGAAAATAGATAGATGTATAGATTAGAAGCTAGCTGACAGCAGATAATCAGGGAACGTATATATAGATGTATAATCAGACAGAGATAGATGCTAAACACCTCGCCCCCCCCCTCCCTCCCCCCCCTCCCCCCCCCCCCCCCCCCCCCCCCCCCCCCCCCCCCCCCCCTCTCCCCTCTCCCCCCCCCCCTTCCCCCCCCCCCCCCCCCCCCCCCCCCCCCCCCCCCCCCCCCCCCTCCCCCCCCTCCCCCCCCCCCCCCCCCCTGGCAGACAGATACTAGGGAAGATAGATGAATGTAATAGACAACGAGACATGACATAAATAGGTAGATAGACAGATGACGTGACACGACCTGATATAGGTCTACATAGGGAAATATAGATGTGATTTATAGACAGACAGTACGAGCACAGTACATGGTAATAGTATAGAGTTACATCGACTCTACAGATAGATAGGTAGTTATTAGGACTTAGATAAGTAAACTTGAGATTAAATGACGATAGATAGACAGATAGTACTGTGAATTGAATAGACAGATAGATATATGATAGTATACTTCGAAATTAGATAGACAGATTCACAAAGAGATCTGATATAATGTAGATAGATGGATTAAATAGCAGATTACAGAATGGTAATAGAATACTTAGAGACAGACTGGGTCACGAGATTGACCATCCAGTAACATACCTAGATATTACTTTTTTTTAGATTACAAGATTAACATCTCTATATTACACAGAATTGATAATATCCTTGATTGCTTGAATGGCTATGCACATTTTTTTTTCTCTCTCTCTCGGCTCCTTTTTATCCTAATCATCCCATTCTCCCTCATTTCTTTGATCTCCGCTGCATTTCCTCTTAATTTGCTCATTGTATGCGGTCTGTGACGTGGTGTTGTTTTTAGCTCAAGGTGAGTGATTTGTGAAGTGAGATTCGAATGACTGGATGGCACGCGGAATAAATGTTAGGCGTCACGGAAATCATAAAGGTTGGAAAGATCGTTTTTTTTGGAAAAGGATATTTTCGAAAGTTTTTTTTTTTTTTTTTCTGATCTCTTAATCTTTTTTCTACGTTTCATTTCTTTTCCTTCTGTTGTCTCGTTTCTCGTTTGATTTTCTCTTTGTCTTTTTTGTTTGATTTTTTCTTCTTGTATTTTCTGCTTGAGTTTTTTTTCTTCTTTTTTCTGTTTGATTTTTTCTTTTACTTTTTTTTCTTTTATTTCTTTTTATTTTGTTCTTTTTCTTTTATTTTCTATGTTTGATTTTTTCTTCTTCTTTTTTTCTGTTTGATTTTTTCTTATTTTTCCTTTTTTCTATGTTTTGATTTTTCTTCTTTTCTTTTTTTACTATTGTCTTTGATTTTTTCTTCTCTTTTCTTTTCTATGTTTGATGAAGTGTGTATGTGCGATTTGTGTGTGTTATTGCTATAGATATTAGATATACATCCATACACACCACGGCATACAGTATATATACATACTTGCATGCATACATACATAACATACATAACATAGCGTTTATGTCTGTGTGTGTGGTTGGTATGTGTGACGTGTGGTGTGTCTCTCCTTGGTCGTATGTGCTTCCTGTCTGTCTGGTTTGTGCTCATTGTTGAGGCATGGTGTCTCAGTCCTTGTGCTATATAAGGAAGAAAAATTATATATAGAGAGAGATGGTCACACAAACATCATTTGAACACATCCATAAATGGCAACTAAATAATCATTATTACTGTTCAGGCAAAAAAACTTATTGAATTAGTCATTGCCGTGTTCATAGCGATATTAATGATTTTTGTGTGCATTGTTTTAATAGAGTTAAGCGGTCCTACTCAGCTGGAGCGTGGCATTATTATTTTGAGAAAATTTTGAGCTTTAATTCTTGAAATTTTAGCTTTTTGGGGGTTACTTGTTTTTTTTTGACTTGAATGAGTAATTTTCGTCGATGATTGGTAGACGAACATTTTATTTTATTCAATCGTCATCATCATTATCATCATTATGGCAGTTTCTGATAATTGTTAATTCTGTCATCGTCTATCATGATGTTTAGTATTAGCTATCTTAATTAAAATTATTAGATCGTTACTTTATTATTCTTTATTATTAATACTCCTATCGTTTGATGCTTTATAGCTCTCTCTCATTATCATCGCTCCCCCACTTTTGTATCCCCTCCCTCTTTGCAGTCGTTCTAATATCTTCCAGACTTTCTCCGGCTGCCCCCTTCAGTCCGTTTGATAATGCTTCCCCATATCTGTTTTCCTTTGGTCAATTCTCAGTTTCTAAACACTTTTCTTTGTTTTATAATATTTTTTTATTATTTGATATTGTTGTATTTTATTTTATGAGAAGAAAGTTGTGCACACACCACTAACAGCCACACACACCCACACACCCACACACACACACACACACACACACACCTCACACACACCACACAGCTACATCACCAGCCAAACCTCCATTTAAGCACCCAAATAACATCTATCCTCAGCTTCACACATTCACACTCATATCCACATTCTCCTGATCACATCCATACCATACATACATTATATCTCTTTTACTTTATCTCTCAATCTAGCATGAAAAGTATGATGGTGGAATGTGTCACCCATTTGTCCTCCTTACCCCCCTACAACACTCCAGTCCGCTTTTTTATATGTCATTTCATAATTGAAATGTATAGCGACTCATAATCTCGACAATTTTTCTTCATTTCCTTTTTCTTCTTCTTGAGTATCCGCGTTGTTTGCTTTTCCTATTGGTTGACTTTGATATATTTCTCTTTACTCTTGCATTTGTATTACTATATATGTCACTGGCTTTATTCCTATGTTTGTCATTTAATGGTAATATGCGAGGGCTTATAGTACGATGGAGTCGCGGCCATGTAATAAATAAGGTTAAATAACGCTTTATATCATGGTTGGTATAATCAATCATATTTGTGGGAAATAATTACCCCTTTTTTGCGTGTTGAGGGCGTTGCTACGAAGGTAATTTTGTTTGTTCAAACTCACGCGTCTTCATTAGTCACATGATGTACTTTTTCTCAAGCTGCAGAAAAGCGATATTTTATGTATCCGAGGGCAATGTTTTGTCCTTCGCTGCTCTCGACGCATTTTGAACCCAAATTTTTCAATATCCGGGGTCAGTCATAGTTTCCAATTAACTCTCGTTCTTTCTTATTATGGATCCGTCAACGCCTGACCCTGTGTCTTGTGAATGTCTACGTGTTCTGTACCGTTGTGCCGCGTTAGATTTTGTTTACTGATTCTTGGTCACTTTTGAGGGGGGGGGGAAAGGGGTTATTTCGCAGAAATGGTAAAATAGCGGAAAAAGGAAGAGGTAAGGGGTATCATTAGTTCCTCGTGAACACACGAACGTCGGAGGTTAACTAGTGGATACATTCGAACGCGCGTGGCCGCCAGACGCGCTCTCCCTGATGGTGGTGCGAATATGGCGTTGGCTCTGTGGTTGGGATTATGAGGACAGATCTAATA